TGGCTTGGCAGAAGCAAGGAAATGACAAACAGACATGTCTTTTCAGGAAAATGGCTTCTTCTTTCTCCTATGAGAAGCACCAAACAGGCCATTCTAACCCAAATCCCTCAAACTCGCATAGCTATTTGTAAGTTATACCAGTTGAACATGTATTTTATACCTTTCCCTATGTCTTATTCAAACAGTTAATACAGGAGTTACACCAAGATAGTGTAACTCACAACGCCAGTAAAAATTACATTGGAAAAACATGGCCAGTCTTCATGTCTTATAGAGGCAAATGATGCTGTTTTATCTAAGGAAACCTTTAACCGTTGTATTTTTATATTGCAACAGTGGTCATTAATAATTTAAATGTATTGCAATGTGATATCATTAAATGTAACCTATGGATAAGATGTTACTTAATTTTCACAGCATGGGTGGCTCACAAAACATATTATTCCATTATTACAATAATGGGTTGATAAAACCTCAAATAATCCATCTAGTCTAACCTATTAACTTTATTAAGGAACCCGTCTGTTGGCAAGTTTATCATACCAATAAATGAACAAATTTATGTTACAGTTGTGAGAAAATTCATACTCTCTTCAAGTAATAAAGTTTTATGGAAGAAAATTTGCTATAGGTTTTTTTTCCTGTAAGACAAACAGAATTATTTTGGCTTTTTGAACATCACTTGATTGTCATTTAGTCAGTGTCAATGTCACTATAGTAGAATATGTTGACTCTGCTATCTGTTTGCGGCATAGACTAGGAAAAATGAAAATCAATAGCTAAAACTCTATGCAGGAAGTAGGGAGGAACTTACAACAGGACAGATAATTAAAGAAAATGCTGTCTTGCTTGGTATGTTGAATGGCTTGTCTGTAGAGACAAGCAGCTTTGTGCCATTTGGATCACAGAGTTGGTAAAGTTCAACTAGTCAGACTCTTGGCACATACATTTCTTGTTTCTTAAAAATCTCTGAACTAGAGTCTTCTGAAAACAGTTCTTTTCTTCCCTTTCTTATATAAAAAGAAGTATTATGGTCATATTTCAGAAAAGTGTTATGGTCATATTTTTTGCAATTCATTTCTGCTACTGAGAGAAATACTTTTGGAAACCGGAATCTTCTTGACTTTGATCTCTATTCTTTATGCTAGGTGTCTTGGACAGTCACACTTGCACAATGTTATCAGTGTTAAGTGCCAATGCAATATGTTCCTTGAAACAGTTATAAAAAATACTTGGGTTTTAGAGAAACACAAAGGACATCAGAGCTCTTTTTCAGTTTTGCATGGCAGTAATTTCCAGGCATTTAGAAAACATGTAAGTAAAGGACTCAAGCTGAAATGACTTTTTCACTGGGAGTTATGTCTAAAAAACTTCTATACGTTTTTTATTATTACTGAAGAAAACAACAAAGCAAATGGTTTTATCAGATCCTGAAGGTACAGTTGTATAGCTGTCTTTACTCAAGAATGTACAGACAAGAAAAGCATCCCTGAGGACAGTGTATGTCACGATCCTGTTACTGATTTTATATCAGTCATACCTTTTTGAAATATCAAACAAAATTTTACCTGCAATGTATTTATTTTGCCTCTTTTCTAGTCAGAATTTAAATTAAGGACTTTCAGAAGTAGTTGTAGTCTGAATAGAACCATCCTCCTTCTTGAAGCTTTCAAAGTCACCCTGTAAAAGCTGAAGATATAAGAAGTAGGAAAGTAGTTTGCTCCATCAATTTATTGTGGATTACATGTTGCTAATAATTTCTCACAATGTATCTTAGGCTAGCCTCTCATTCAGCTGAGAAAATTTAATACACCTCCTTCAAGATACTGCCTAGATGGGAAAGAATCAGTAAAGAAGTCCATTATGCAGTTCATCAAATGGATCTTTATGAGGATATTGGAGATGTGATTTGTGGCACTATTTAGGATACATTACATACTACATTATTGTAAAGTTCAGGTTTGTAATTTAATTATAGGCCAAATTATCTTCAGTTCTAACTTTAGTCGAAGTGACTAAGCCAAGCCTAACAGCTGATATAAATTGTAAATGGTCTGAGTGTCATGGGCCACAATAAAGGCTGTGTTACATAATTTTATACCTCATGTGGGATTTTCAGAGCCACCTAAAGAATTAAATGAGGTGTTCACACCTTGTATATTCTACCGTTATGCTATTAAGTGTTCCTAGTAAAATTATTGCAAACAGTCATTTTTCCCAAAAGAAAATAAATATGTTTTCAGAGAACAAAATTGCGTTGAAGGATTTTTGTGAATATAAGGGTCCATAGAAGTGTGACCAAGCACAGAGGGTTTTTTTTTAAGGCCATTTATGATAAAGATTTTAAGCCTTCTGTCAGAATTCTGGGATGCAATTATTTTCCATTACTTCTTGATAACCCTCTGAATTTCTCATAGCTTTCCTTTTTTAATATACTTCTGTATTTTTTTATTATTCACTTTCAAAATTTCCTCCTAAGATTATGTCATTTTTACTTGTGATAATTTATATTGCTTTCTACTAGGGCATGATATAGTTTGCTTTTGGAAATCCCTTATTTTCTTTTGACAGATGTATCATTTTAAGAGAGAGAGAGAAAGATAAACACATATATGTATGTGCATATATAATGCTTTTTATGAGTTAGTTATGTATTGAGGAAGTCTCAAAATTGAATATAATTTGTTTATATATCTTTTATTTCTCTCTGTCTGATTTTCTTATTCTAATCCATCTTTAAGTTTCTCATTCTAGTTTTTCCTCTTGCAAGAATAATGGCTATAATCATTTTATGGTTATTGCAATTCAATATTCACCTACAGTAAGTACTGTACATGTACATTAAGAAAAATGCTTCCTCACATTTCAAAGAACAATATATATAATTTGGGGAAATTCCTGAAATATACTCTATATGTGTGGTGGTTTGAAAAACCTTTTTTGAGGTAGTAATGGTTTACCCCACTGATAATACTGGACCAATCAATAGTCCATGGAAATTACGTGCCCACAGAAATGGAAGAGAAGGTGGTGAAGATAGTTTTTAGAAGGTAGGTAACCATGATCTGAGCCACAAGGAGGCAAGGGGCCAGTGAGCCCCAAGGGCCCCCAGACCCCAGCCAAGGCTACAGGAGACCCGGTATAAGTGTCAAAGCTGGACCGGGTCCCATAATCAAGAGCTGGAAAAGTTTCCTTACTGTCAGCAGCAGCAGAAGACACTGAAAGCGGCAGCGGAGCAGTCCTGAACAGAGACAGCGATGGCTAAAAGCCAAAAGATAGCCAGTAGCAACGAGATAACAAAAGATGCAGAGATGTTCCTGCAGGAGGCAGAGCTGGCAACAAAACAGAGGTAAACTCAACAGAGCTGGTTTGGGGTAAGACTGTATTATTTTCCCAAAACCAGAGACTCTCTGAAGAGGAGGGGTGGACTTCCAAACCCTTAGGGAGTCCCGAAATGCAGCAGCAGCTAGAGAGAGGGAGAAAGGAGCTGAAAACCCGGAGTTGTCCTGAGAGCTGAGCCAGGACGGAATGCAGAGGAGGTGGCCGTGCCCTCTGCTGCTGCTGTTGCTGTTTCTATCAAGCTGCCGAGCTGAGACAGAGCAAAAGAGCGTTGGTAAGACTGAACTGAAAGCTGCCTTCAATGTTCTAACCCAAGAGAAGTGAAGATCTACAAGGAAATCCCCGAAGGCTCGGGCTCGGGGTTGAAATTTCCACAAAGTAAGAACAAAAATCCTGACTGCCATACGTAAATGTGCTGCCTCAGGAAAATGAAGGACACTAACCAGTGCCACAAAAAACTAAAATGAAGGACTGTGGCCTGAGAGGCGATAGAAAGACTTTTCTCTTTTCTTCTTGGACTTTTATTGAAGAAGAGGAGAAATTTAATTTAATGTAAATATATATGTGGGTGTAAATAAGCCTTTGTAAATATTTTCCCCTTCCTCCAATAACGAATGGTTGTGTTTTGTCTGAAAACTCTCCACATGGGGTGAAAAAGATACCAAGTCCATACCATCACTAAACCCTCTCACAGGGGCAAACTGTGGGAGGGGGGCTTGAACTTAAAAATTAGATTCCTAGGAGTTTCAAACCACCACAGTATGAAACATAATCAGCAAGTTTGTGGGTAACCGAAGTCACTCTGTTGCTATTCAATCTGCATATTACTTTTTGATCCTCTAGTCCTTGGCGTGTTTCAGTGAACAACGTGGTTCTTATGACAGTTTAGCACATGTAGTCATACATTTCTACAGAGTGCAATGCACTGTCTTTCTTATGTTAAATAGAAACTTCATCTCTTTTCACAGGAAGATGAAGAGTGTAATTGGAGGGTGTACTTTGTATCACGAGTACTCTTCCAGTGCAGCATAGCTACTAAGCTAAGGTTTTTCTCGTAACAAGTTTCTTAAGGGGCAGTTTTATGACAGATGTGAATCAGAACAAGCTTTGTAAGCTTCCACTCTCCTTCACCTATGTTATAATGAGAGCTTTTAGTTAAGAAAAATGAATGCTTTCACTTACTTTTACAAAATATTTCTGCAGAAATGAGGGAGATGACTATGTTGAATTGTGATATAGAGGTTATCCTGCAGGACCTGGAGATGCAACTAGCTCTTAGTTATGTGTTTGGGGAAGGTGGGGGGGAAGGGACGGGTGAGAGAAATTATTACAGGAGTTGTAATTATTACAGGTGTTTTTATTATTACAGTAGTACCCCTTAATTGGGAATAGTGTCTCAAGGTGGTTTTGGTTCATTGTACAACAACCTAACCAAAATGAAGACTTACAAAACAAAGATATATTTGCCCAGAAAAACACAGGCCAGTCAACATAGTTTTTGTTACCCTATAAATGAAAAATTTAGAGAGAGCAGAATCTCAGCCTCTATTTAAGTGTCAGGGCATGGTGAGCACCAGCTCTCCCTAAGGTATGTGGTGCTGAGGGAGATACTACGGCCAGCAGAACAAGGGGCCATGCTGGCCAGGGCCCATCCCACTAACCCCAACCGAGGCAAGAAAGACCAGCCCAGGGATGGTAGCCACGTCCAGACCGTCAGGCAATTTTGTGATGATGAAGCAGGTCTGAAGAAATCAAGCCAGGAAGTCATGCCAAAGATCAGGGTCAGGATCAGTTCCAGTGAAGTTAATGAGAGTCAGACACAGTCTAGTGATGATTTAGCATATCCACAGTGATGAGATAGGTGAAGCTCAGAAGTCACATTGCAGATCGGGATCAGCAGGGTTCATATCTGACAGAGTGAAGATCTGTCTTCTTTTCTGTGATGTGATATGATACATGCAGGAATCCATCCTGTTTGTGAATGCCATGAATAGCCTCATGAGGCTCAAGGGCTTTGCTTGTTACTTCTACAGCCACCATTAATCTGAAAGAAAAAAGTCCATGATTATGTATGTGTCAATCAGTTTCTGAAAAATAATGTAATTCCTTATCCCTATCTGTCTACAAAACTGTATTCATTTTCATTCATGAGTTCCCTTTGTATTGAACAATCATGCTGATGCCAATTTCCCCTTTGAGGATCTTCTCAAAGAAGTTAGGATAGCCTTAGACAAGATTAAAAATCAAGAAGGAATTCATCACAAAGTCAGTCACTGTACCCTACTAAGTGCTCATAAAGTTATTTACCGTTATGTTGAGCTTCAGCTCTGGACTTCAGATAGATGCAGGTTTTACAGTTAGAAAAGCACCAACAAACATTTACTTTTGTCCCATTAAAAGAGACAGAATATGAACACATGCACAGGCTTGCCCCATGCTGACTATACTGGAAGATTAATAAAGGCAGCCAAGCTGTGACAGTCCAGATACAGCATTTGGGTGGATGATATGTACTTTCAAACAGCTTTCTTTATCAGAACTACAACATGAAAAAAGGAAGAATGTTGTCCCAAAGGTGGTTCAAAGCGTACATGATTAAGAGCAGTACACTAGTCAACTCTTTTGCATTCTTCACTGAAACTAAGAATAGAGCACCAAGACAGAGTATTTTCAGAACGGCATGCAGAGGAACAAAAGCTGTGTACAGGGCAAAGAGCTCTGCAGCAAAAGCAGCAGGCAGGCTTATATATGGAATGGTGCTGAGAACTGAGCATTGAAAGGTACTGATCCCAAATGCATTGCTTTGGCATATCGTGAGCTTGACTCTCCTACCCTCTGCCCCTCGACAGCAGTGCCACTTACTGTAACACTTTCAGTCCCTGTACTGATCACTCCAAGTTCTGTTTAAGTGATATGACTTTCCTGTGGCCCTTCATGTCACAAGTCAGTAATGATACTGGGGATGAGTGACAATATAACTGAAATGAGAAAGTATGTACAAGTACGATGGTTCTATATGGGAGTTTTGTTGCATTTATGCCTAGGGGAGATTCACATTCTCCAGCTAAGGGCAATCTAATAGATAAAGAACTAAGCTTAGCTCTTTCTATGATTAATGAATTAGCACTTAACTGAAGTTCTCACTTTTGTCTGGTAAAGACAAACTAGCACCTACAAAATGCAGTTCACCCACTGTTAAAATATAAATTTAAAACAAATGGAAAGAACCTGTGGAGATCCTTCGATGTCTTCACTGACTATAGAAGACTCTTCAATACCTGGTTTAGACTAGAAGAGTACATTTTATGTGCTGAAGGCAAGTGAGGTAAATCTCATTTTTTCAAACTCTTCTGGGGATTTCAGCAATTTTCAGTCAATAAATTCACTCCCTTTCAATAGATTTTATTATACATATTCATATTAATTCAGAAAACGCAGATATATTTAAATAGCAATGTTAAGGACTCCTTGGAATTAACAATAAAATTCTCTTGTGATCCTCAGAGAGTAAAATTTTGAATAATGATACTTCCAAGGTAATCTGCACATCTCTGAAAATAGTTTTTGATAGTCTGAAAACTGAAGACAGATTTTTTTTCCCCTAAAACGTTTAATGACTCGTTCCCTTACTCCTTTTGCTTCAGGCTTTTATCATTATGGATATTAAACTACTTTCACAAACTGTGGGAAGTGTTAAGTTGCAAATATACTCTCCTGTTGTACAGACTTACTTGGATAGTGGTTAAAAGGATTGATGCTGCTACTAACCTAAGTGTCCTGACATATTCTCTTGTCAAAATCTATTCCATCCTTCTCTTTTATAATTTTTTTCCTTTTTTTTTCTGTTATAATATATTGATTTTTCTCACCTGCAGAACTTCCCATTCAACCTTGGAAACTTTTGCAATATGAAGAAGTTAACTCTCTAGTCAGTACAAGACAGCAGTCCCATCATTAATTTGTTAGATTTCTGAACTGGTACCTTTGTGCATTCTCCCCAGATGACATTCACTCTATTGAAGATGTCACGTGTAAACATTCACAAGCAAATTCATTATTATTTTTTAAATCTTTCTTTAGAATGTTCCTTCACCAATCTGCCCATAGAATGAAGACTTTAGTTACAGGCTTTCTCACAGCTAGGTGTGGCTCCTCATATTGTCTGTATTTCCTGTCTGTCTTCTACAAAGAGACAGCAAGATTTTGGGGCATTGCCTTGTTTTCATTCAAAACACTTACAGCTCTAGAACCCTGGCATTTTACAGTAATAACCATCTTGATTAATACACAGCGCTTGATACTTTTGTTACGTGCAAAAACCATAAACACCTAAACTCTATTTGATTTCTATACTTTTTCTTTGAGTTTCTGCCTGCATTTACATGAGAAAACTAACCAGAACAGATATATCAGAATAAATAATACTTACTTTCCATATTTAACTTTCCACTCTTCAAATAAGACTAGAAGTAACTAAGTACCTGTTGTAATTTCTCAGTGTTCACCATATTTACTAAATAATCCATATATTTATAATTGACATTGTTTAATACAGCTTTCAGACTCGTGGTATTTTCTAGCTTTGAACTATACATGTGCACAGTCTCATAATTGAGTATTTTATCCCCATATCTTCTAGTATGGTTTGTGAGAGAGAGGTGGGGATGGATATAATTTTTATATATACTACATAAATATATATTTACAATCTTTATTATTATAATTAACATAATACTTATGTTTTAGGTGGAAATAGAGGAAAGTGGTCTGTGTATCTAGAACCAAAGTCTGTCATTGTACAACCATTTATTTTAAACTGGGAGATTATACAAGCTATATTCATTCAGATTCAGCCTATGTAAATCATGGCTTTGCAATCACTTAGGAGTTGTATGGCATTAATCTACAGTGACAGCGTTCAACAGAGTCTAGAAAGTTGTTTGATTTCACACTCTGTAATTGACAGTTCTTGATTTCCTGTAAGATTTTGGATCACAGACAAAACGTTTTTTCAGTAACTGCGTATTGGCTGGACAGCTACAGCTGAAATGCAGAACTGTTGTGGTTGGGTGATATGATCAACATTCATCACAAACTAATAATGGTGATTTTGAACATCTTAATTTGAGATCACACAACTCCATGTAGTGTGAAATAAGATGTCTGGGTGATTGCAAAGATTTTGACTTGTCTGTGTGCTGATAGCCTGCAGAAGATTTTAATATTCTGAAGTCCCACCAGATGGGCAATCTGCTGCAGTATATTACCTTGGCTCAGTTTTAAACTGCAAGGGTTTGATATCTGATGTCACCTCAAGGGAAAAATAATAAACAGTTGCAGTAACATTTTTTAATCTCTCTACTCTTGATTTACCTAGGCTTTGACTGATGCAATACTCAGCTTAGGATAACTGTACAAAAACAGAGTTTCTACAATACCAAGGCATAAAAATGCATAAGGGGATCAGAAATGGAATGGGAAAAAAATGAGTAACTATTATTTAACTGTTCTATGCATGCCTTCTAATCCTATGTGCAAAAACTTAACTTGTTGCAAAATAGGTTTGGAAAAGCATACAGATATAAGAAAAAATGGCAGAGAAAAATGTAAAATACTACAGATAAAATTTTGATTAATTTTTATAGCTACAAGAAATGCAGTCAGTTTTCTGGATCAGTGGGGTTATTTATTCTGGGAGTGAGTAGATAGCAATACCAGCACTCCTCTACTTCAAGGTTTTGTTGGATAAATTCTTTTGTGGAATATTCCATGGAAACAACCTGAGTCAATGGTAATTCTGTAGCTCTTGATTGCAGTCCTCAGAATTGGACTTTTGTCCATTTCGGTCCTGGACAACTCATAGTTTCAGGTATTTCATGCTGTTGTTCATCTCTTTCATTGTGCACAAAAAAGACTTATAATTTACAGTTTATCAGCTGAGTAATCTGACCAGTAGGCTATTCAATGAATATGACATAGAGGATGTATTCAACTTTTTGAACTGACCTGTAAATTCAGATTATGTTTTTTTATTTGCTTTTTTTTGGTTTTGAGTTTTTGTTTTGTTTTTAATCAGTTGCTTCGGACTATAGCAAATATGTCATGTTAAAAGAGAGAGAGAAATGTTAAGAATTAGGAGCTGTTGTAATAGATAGCTCAGTCTGAATTAGGGAGCCAAAGGAGGAACTACAATAATGTCTGTTCTGTTACGCAGAAACATTTGGAACTTGTCACTGAATAAATAAGATCTCATCTAAGTGCTTTTCCCTACCATGGCTGGTGAACACAAGTATTACGAGTAAATGGTAGAGGAAATAATCTGAGTTGAAAACTATGATGCAGTAAAAGATGTAAAAAGGATGTAACTAGGATGTAAAAGATCACTAGAACTTTAACCTGGATTCTGAAAGAAAAATAAAAGGTTTAAGGAACATTTATATTTGCCATCTAAGCACTGAATGAGGAGGAAGACCATCAGAACATCCTTTACTTCCAACTGTATCTGTTTATGTCACTTGTTATGCTTCATAGCTTTTAATTATCTCAAGCTAAACGTTTAAGTAACTTTATCATGTCAATACACTGTGAAGCCTGACTGAGGATGGGTCCTTCTACCCAAATGTGTTATGCATTTTTAAAAAAATCTGAAAATATTTAAGAGTCTACGAGTAATGCAGAAGCCAAATGTATAATGCCAGGAAAGGAGAGACATCTGAGAAAAGTCCTGATGGAAAATGGAAACGAAAGTACACAGCTGAAGATTCCGAATTAATACATAAAAGCATGACGTAGCTATTTGCCTGAGAACTGAATTTAGGAGGGCCAAAACAGGCTTAAGGAGCCTACAGTGCTCTGAAACTACAGACTTGAAGGGCTAAAAAGATGATAGGCATATCATCATGGGTTGAAATTTCAATACAGACCTGTTCATACTCTGGTAACCAGGACATTACCAACATGCTAAGTAAAAACCAAAATTGACCCCACTACTCTGCAGAAGTTACAAGTGATGACAGTGTATGTACATCACAGAAAAAATTGTAC